GAGGGAGAGGGAGGAGGCTGGAGGGAGAGGGAGGAGGCAGGGGGGAGGATAGTCACTGGATTGAGGTGATTTTGCTGACGTCAACAGTTGCACACTTAACTATTTTCTTGCACCATCCAGGCACAGCGTCGTTCCCGCAATTGAAGTGAGGTTTTGTTGCCGTCAACAGCTGCACACGTGGCTAGTAGTCTTCTGCCGCCAACTTCAGTTCGAATATCGAAGTGATATTGTTGACGTCAACAGCTCGCACACTTTCTTCACCAGCCCGATCAGGATGAGAGAGAGGTAGAGAGAGAGAGCGAGAGAGAGAGAGAGAGAGAGAAAGACACGTGTCACAGTCCCCGACGAAAAGGCATCGAAAACCAGAACAGACTGGGGAAACCGATTTCTCGGCTTGGCCAAATCTGCGAAGGGGCAGGCAATCGATCTTGTATCAAGAATCTTGAGCTTATCCACAGTATCGATGTCGATCTTATCCCCAAAATCTCGATCACGATGTAATCCAGAATCCCGATCTTATCCACAGCCTCGATCTTCTCCAGAATCTCGATCTTATCCACAATCTCGGCTTTATCCACAATCTCGATCTCGATCTATCCACAATCTCGAAATCTCGATATCGATCTTATCCAGAATCTCGATCTTATCCACAATCTCGATATCGATCTTATCCAGAGTCTCGATCTATCCACAATCTCGATATTGATCTTATCCAGAATCTCGATCTTATCCAAACTCCTGTCGATCTTATCCACACTCTCGATCTTATCCACACTCTCGATCTCGGTCTTGTCCACAATCTCGATCTCGATCTTATCCAGAGTCCCGATCTTATCCAGAATCTCGATCTTATCCANGATCTTATCCACACTCTCGATCTCGGTCTTGTCCACAATCTCGATCTCGATCTTATCCAGAGTCCCGATCTTATCCAGAATCTCGATCTTATCCACAGTCCCGATCTTATCCAGAATCTCAATCTTATCCAGAGTCTCGCTCCCAGAAACCTGTAGATCGTATCCAGGATGAGCTGAAAGGGCGTCCGCTGCCGGATTTGACAGTGGCGGCGGTCATACAACGGCCACGTGTCAATCGGTAATCAATTAGCGCCGTGATTGGTCGGTCCACGTGGATCTGCGGAAGCATCCGATTGGTTGCTTGGTCGTAGGCTTTCATCTGCTGCCACAGAAACAACTGCATCAGAAACAAGTGGCAAGAACTGAGGAAACTAAGGTCATACACAGATGGTTCGAGAATTGCACGTATGCCCCTGCGATTTCGGTGGTTTGTGTAAGAATCCGTGCATCAGAGTGAGTGCTCACCATGGACAGTCCTTCAACAATAACAACAACAACAACAACAAAAACAAAAAGGCAAACAAGCAGGACCTTGTGGATGAAGAAGTAGTGGAAGAAGTACCCAGTACTGCACACCTATACGAAATACAAGTGCACTCATACACGTTACCCAACCTTGTGACCCTGCCTCCATACCCACGACCTTGTCCACACTCTCTCTCTCTCTCTCTCTCTCTCTCTCTCTCTCTCTCTCTCTCTCTCTCTCTCTCTCTCTCTCTATCTATCTATCTATCTATCTATCTATCTATCTCATATCGACAGTCCTTAGAGGACATACTTTCAAACAAAAGACGAAGAAGAATAACAACAATAACAACAAGACCTCCTCCTTCTCCTCCTCGTGTGCGTTGTGGAGAACGATCCTGCTGTCAAAAAAAAAAAAAAAAAAATCCTGCTGTGGATTTTTCCCAAACCAGGCTCGAAGTAAGCGGGTACGCTGTGGCGGGTAACATTACCCGCCAAAAGGTAACATTACCCGCCAAAAGATAACCTTTTCAAAAAGAAAAAAAAAGAAGGAAAAAAAAAAAAAGGTAACATTCCCCGCCAAAAGTCCTCCTGCCGGATGGGCAAGATGACACGTCAGCAAATGTGGGATCCCGACCTCGTGCTGCTGTGGATGGTTTGCCAAAGCTGTGGCCAAGTCCCACTAGCAACCTGGAGTTTGCGCAACGACCGAATCTGGACGTGTTTGTGGAGATGTGCCGAAATCGCGTTGAGTTTGCTCAACCGCACAGAGCCACGAACACGTCCAGATTCAGGCGCTGCTAGTGGGACTTGGCCCCTGGAGCAGGTTTTGTGAGATAAGCGATTAGGCCACGAACATCGAAAAAAAGCAAGACCTAATCTTGAGGACCCTGTCGTACGTTGCACAGGATCCTGGGGCTGAGTGATTAGGGGCCTCGCTGCACTACTCTCGACATGCACAAAAGACAGAAATATTGGCGTTGTATCTTTCCATATTCTAGCGGAAGATTCACTCTCGTTTTGCACATTTTCTTTAGTTGTTTACGTAGGAGCGATTGATGTTCTGAATTTGGGCCCTCAAAAATGTTTCATATGCCCCTACCGGTACCCGTACCAAATTTTCAGTATGCCCCTACCGGCTGCCCGTTGAGAAACAGGAGTAAAGTTTCCCATATGCCCTTACCCGTACCGTCCATCTTTCCAGCAAGCCCCTGTCGCCGCTGTTGACACTTGCAGTCCCTACGAAGGGAAGAGGAGGGAAGAGGAG